ATGACGATCAACTGTGACTTGACTCATGACGATCAACTGTGACTTGACTCATGACGATCAATTGTGACTTGACTCATGACGATCAATTGTGACTTGACTCATGACGATCAATTGTGACTTGACTCATGACGATCAATTGTGACTTGACTTGACTTGACTCAGGAAGATCAATTGTGACTTGACTTGACTCAGGAAGATCAATTGTGACTTGACTTGACTCAGGAAGATCAATTGTGACTTGACTTGACTCAGGAAGATCAATTGTGACTTGACTTGACTCAGGAAGATCAATTGTGACTTGACTTGACTCCTGACGATCAACTGTGACTTGACTTGACTTATGACATTCAACTGTCACATAACGGGGCGCTGTTGTGTCCGCCATTTTGCGATCAGGCTCATCTGTCGCCGCCATTTTGTGAGAGTAATCTAGTGCAGGGGCCATTACACGAGTGAGTGCGGGGTCGCGTTCCTGCGCGATACCCACAGTGAATAGAGAGCCAACAGTCAACAAAGCAAAGTCCAAAAAAACAACTCAGTGACGAATGCGGACCCTCGCGTCTAAGCTCAGATCATAGAGGTTGATTAAGGCCATCACAAAAAATCTATCAAAAGACAGTCTGGTAGATCAGAATAGTGTGCTATGGCTAAAAATTTGCGAACATAGTTCTCCAGCGATCGCGGGCCCTGTCTAAGGGCTAACAAAATCCTTGCCGTGTCCATACCTGGCCAATGTTCTTCAGAAAAGCTGCTGGGTCCTTGTATGGCCGAGTATTCTGTAATGGGGCTGACGAGACGAGAGGCGTGCGGATCCATGTGCAAGCTTTTATTCACAAGAGACATGGTCAAAAAAACACAGGCAGGGTCGAACAACAGCAAACAGGTATGGCACAGGCTAGACAAAGAATATTCCTTGGGCTAGCGTGGGTCTACGATCGGCGAACAGTATCCAGAGGGCTTGACAAGAGGGGTAATCCAATAAACACAGGCAGAAGGTCAGGAAACAGACAACAAGGCAACACGGAAAGACTAGACTAAGACTTAAACTAAAAATGGGAAAAGGAATGGCTCAGTAATGTAGCTATCGCTAAAGGAGAGATAAATGCTAAACAAAACTAGAGACTAAACAGAAACACGGAATGGCTCGGTAAAGCAGCTAACATTTGGGGAGCGCTAAACGCAGAACAAAACTAGAGACTAAACAAACACGGAATGGCTCGGTAAAGCAGCTAACATTTGGGGAGTGCTAAACGCAGAACAATAGACCAATTTAGAGTAGACGTCACAGTTACGTCACTTGCAGCTGCGTGCGCATAGTACCTGTTTCGGATCTGTAAGACTATCCCACTCTCTAATGCAAATTTAGCTGAATAACAGTGCTTATCGCTGGGTGACAAGCTCTTGTAATATGTGGAGAACATTTTGAAAATGACATCTAATCAATATAATTTATAATCTTTTTAAACCTAACTATTTTGTACCCTATCCGTGAAATTCTCTAGCCATAAAGGCTATCTCTCCCAGGTTTTCTGCTAAATATATTTATTTATAATATCAATTATATGAATATAAATACAGACATGTAAATACATATAAATATTATCAAAATATATACATGCATGTGTGTGTATTTATATATACATAATAAATATACACAGAACACACACATATATTATGCAAACAAAAACTTTTATTTTGGAAGCGATTAATCATTTGACAGCACTATTAATAATATATAATTAAAAATGATGATATGACTCGTTTATCTGTCTTTTTCATAATTGCCATGACTTTATTGATATCACAATAGCTTTTATTTTACAATTGTTTTCTTTCAGCCAAAAATAGCCATTACAGTTGGCACACAGTTTCCACCTTAACTACAGTTTTGTTGCATCAAAACAGTTCTGTTTAGTGTAGGTTTTTTTTTCATTATATTTTTTAATTAGGAATAATAGCATCTATATTACTTCTTCCTCAATACCTCCCAGTGACTGCTTATTTTTGCTGCATAATTTCAATTAATGCATTTTTGGTCTGCATAGAGTATAAATCAACCTCTTTTAATTGAAAGTAAATGTATTTCTCATGATATCTCAACTACCCTCACTCTTCCTCTTTATCTTGCTATCAGCAGCCAAAGCCAACGGTGATTTCCTCAACAAGCAACACCGCCACTTGGTCGAGTTGGCAGCTAAGGGAAGCCTGCCACTTCATCCAGTCAGAATGGAGCACGTGGAGCCCACAGCTTCCTACGTCACAGAGGTCCCGTGCCTCAAGCAAAATGGACAGAAGCCCAAGAGCATTAAACCCAATGTGGCCCATCCCGCAATGGCCTACAGCTCCAATACCATCGCAAACCCCGGCATGCTAAGGAGCTGGGAGGCTGCAGAGACTGCGGGCCGACGCAAAACCTACGGCCCTAGGAAGATGTGCACGGTGGATCAGGTTAATGAGCTACACACTGCCCGCAGTCATCATTACCTTCCCACGCAACCCTACTTTGTAACCAACAGTAAGACAGAGGTGACTGTGTAAGAGGCTAAATACATTTCGAAGCAAGCGGCAGAGAGCCAAAAGTGATTATCGTCATGAAAGGACTCTCCACACTCTGCCCCTAGTGGACTGGAGGCACAACAGGGGTGAGCATGTCATGTCAGCTGACAGTCAGGCCACTATTTATATCCACTGTAACAATGATGTGTTTGTGTTCCGTCAATGAAAAGGTAAAAGGAAACAGATGTAAAGAATTGGCACACGAAAAGTTTCAGATCAATAGCAATAAGATCTAATAAACGTGTACGAAAGAGACGGTTCGCAATGGCCTACAGCTCCAATACCATCGCAAACCCCGGCATGCTAAGGAGCTGGGAGACTGCGGGCCGACGCAAAACCTACGGCCCTAGGAAGATGTGCACGGTGGATCAGGTTAATGAACTACACACTGCCCGCAGTCATCATTACCTTCCCACGCAACCCTACTTTGTAACCAACAGTAAGACAGAGGTGACTGTGTAAGAGGCTAAATACATTTCGAAGCAAGCGGCAGAGAGCCAAAAGTGATTATCGTCATGAAAGGACTCTCCACACTCTGCCCCTAGTGGACTGGAGGCACAACAGGGGTGAGCATGTCATGTCAGCTGACAGTCAGGCCACTATTTATATCCACTGTAACAATGATGTGTTTGTGTTCCGTCAATGAAAAGGTAAAAGGAAACAGATGTAAAGAATTGGCACACGAAAAGTTTCAGATCAATAGCAATAAGATCTAATAAACGTGTACGAAAGAGATGGTTATGGAGAGATGAGACATTACAGAAATGAAACATACTGCATTATGGATCCCAGATATTAAAGGGCTGGCGTGGAGCATGAAACAGGTGGTTGATGCTCTTATCTGAAATAATATACAGAAATTTTGTCAGATGCGCTATTGATTTGATGAGGACAGCGTCGGTTATGGAGAGATGAGACATTACAGAAATGAAACATACTGCATTATGGATCCCAGATATTAAAGGGCTGAAACAGGTGGTTGATGCTCTTATCTGAAATAATATACAGAAATTTTGTCAGATGCGCTATTGATTTGATGAGGACAGCGTAAAATACACTAGGTCTGAGGCTGTGCCTTTCGTTTTGTCATTATAAAGCACCTCGGTCAAGCAACTAAACAACTGATGCTTAAAATCTGGAGTATTAGCAGCGGTGGTCACATGTATTGAATATTTCATGCGAAGGTAGCATTGCCATGCCATGAGCAACACTGTTAAAGAACATGGAAGCTTGGGCACAACTTGTGTCTTTGGAAATACGTGTTTGGTCTCTTTTTGCGTACATTCGGCATTACTCTTTTACGTGTTTTCTCAAACGCATATGAGCATGTTGAAATATTTGTCAAAATGTCATCAGTAGGTGTATCTGCTGCCACATGTACTGTAAGGTTTTTTGCACTTTTACAAATGTGTTGTGAGGAAGGTACATTTTATTTATTTCCCCCCCAAACAGATGTGACTTATGATGAAAAAAGACCATAAAGTAGGCTATATTTATACCATTGCCAGTATATGTATGCAAATTATACAGTACATTGTGCCAAGAAGTAGCTGGTTGAAGTTGTTGTGTTCAGCATTATTTATTTAAATATATTTCTTTATTTTCTGTATTTGAGAGAAAATGTTTCTGTTGCAACATCATTATCTAATGGAGTGGTAGTTCTGGAGATGAAGATGTACTTTAAACTGGAATAAAATGAGCTTTTTCTTTCCTCATTCTCTTCATCTTTATTTTCCTCTTCCATTGCTGTCTTTGATGCTAACAGGATGTTGCATTGTGAGATTTTCGTAAACAGGTCGATGAACTTTGTTGTATCCAATTGAGTTAATTCAGCAATGCGTAAACCTGGAAATATCAACCCAAAGAACTTGACCTGCTCCTGCACTTCCGTCTGATTGCAGAGGAACCAGATCATGTGGAATAACTCTAGTCTAGGACAGATCCTGTCAGCCTCGCTGCCTGTTAAAATTGACTGTTAAAATTGATCTATTCCACGCTTATTTTGTAGCATGTAGTGTGTATTAGCAGTAAGCAGTTCCATAACTGCTTGTTCGTGCATCATGAAATTTAATAGCACCTTTGCAGATTTATTCAAGGTAGTTTTATTTTTTTATTTTTTTCCATCATGCATTAAAGCTGAAATAAAGAGAAGCATGTGAATAAATGAAGTATAGAGTATAACTATACACTGAAAAGCAATTAAACATCCCATAACACACTCTCTCTTGCCAAATTCTAAGGTCCCTCAAAGGCTGTTGTGGCGTTTTGTTAGAAATAGCCAGGGAACAGGCAGGCAAGTCTTTCATCTGCTGCAATTCCGAGGAAGTCCCAGATGAGGAGCAGGGAAGGAAAGGCCTCTGATTGATTTGATTCAGGCACTTTGTGCAAGAATAAATCAGCTAATCCAATCCTCAGCTGCACGCATTCACCTCTGAACAGGTGCCTGGAAACAGCCAGCGATTGAATGAGCCTGTTTCTGTGGGGGCCTTGTTGAGCTGCCAGAAATCAAAGTTCTGCTCGGTGAATTAAGATCGAGGGTGCGAGTGACCTAGTTAACCGAATCAGCACCGTCCTGTTCGGCATACAGGCACAAAGTATTAGGAGAGCGGGTGGTCGATTGCATTTGTTTGCTGGGGTCTCAGGCTGAGCCTAGCATTTTTCCATGGCTTTAACTGGACAGAAACAGATATTATTCTACAGAAAACTTACTGTATATGGTTTATCTAGCTCTATGTATAGGATGTACAGTATTGTCATGTATTTCAGGTTACCCCATCACATGAATTAAACATTACACAAAACCAGTGACTAGTAGCCTATATATTTATCTTTTTTCATATTTAAAATTTTATCAAATTATATAAACATAAATTTAAAAAGTGCTAGATTTACCTGTATTCATTTAGTAAAGTGACTTATAATGAGGAATGTTAAAACATAAAAAGGAGGAAAATATATGTGCTGAATTCGTGTATCATTCATTCATTCATTTAATTTATTTAATATTGAAAGTGGAAAAATGAGAAAACAGCTCCTTTTACGAGAATTCAGCTTATATTTTAGTTTTTCATTCAGGGATAGGAAAATTAATAAACAGCTTGAATATTCAATTTCTACAATTAGTCGGAAATTAAACACCCCTTTCTGCTGATTGGTCAGCCGAAGATCAAACTGTGCTGTCATCAGGGCTGCGTTCAGCCCCGACAAAACGGTGCAAAATGTTTTTTAAACGGAAACGGTGGTGCGTTGAACACACTGTTCTGATGACGCAAGAGTTGCAACTATGGCAGCTGAGAAGGCCATTCTTTGTGTTCTTTTTGAAGAATCTTCGGAGCCTGATGAAATCGGTATAAATACGTGTTTAATACTGCAAAATATGCTCGATGTTACAGTCACTGCCCTTGCCGTCCAGAATAAAAGAGAACATCCCAATCAAATGAAGGGATTTGTGGAAACTGTGCTTCCTAATATTGTGATCCAACATTTGCCTCGCATTTCAGGATGAAAAGACAAACATTTCAGGTGAAGGATAATCCACTTCTTACCTCCGAGACTGTGTTATGATCTATATGACCTTATTATTTTTATTGTGAGTATTAGGCTTATCATTATTGCTGATCGCTGTTGTTGTGCTATGTTATTGTAATATTTACCATTATATAATCAGAGGAATATAGAAAACTTTATGAAAGTGTCACTCCACAATTCAATAGCAAAATATATAAATATGTATAGTATTTTTATGTTACATTAATCAGTATTTAGCACACCTTCCTAAGGAAAGGATATGGACCAGAAGACATTGCAATTACTAAATTATATTTAGACAGACTTAAAGTTCCAGATCTATACTTGTGCTCGTATTATTTCAGTTATTTTGCCTTTAATGTAAATAAACATGTGCAAACAATATACTTGCTCTTGTGAATTTATTTGGATGTTAATTACATTGTGCCAGCTGTCTCTTTAATACCGCGTGGTTTATACACATGTTGCTGCTGATTGGGCTGACATGTTTGACACACCCACCAAACAAGAGAAAACGCATATCAAACCCCGTTGCACACCGTTTCCAGGAAACATGTCGTTCAAACCGGAACCCGTAGCAAAACGGTGCACACCGGTTTGAGCTTGAACCACACCACGTTGCACACAGTTTCCAGGAAACATGTTGTTCAAACCGGAAACCGTAGCAAAACGTTGCGCACCGGTTTGAGCTTGAACTTGCCCCTGTTCTTCCGCAGTTTCACGCAGCAGAATTGATCGTTTTCACATGACGTCACAGCCTTATAGGAATGCCCACCTGGAGGGCAAACAAAGCTTTGCTCCACTGACCGACAGTTATTTTTATGCAGATTGCATTAAGTAGTAATGTAGTAAAACGCAGATATTAAAAGGCAAAATTCAGTAAACACCTTATTGATGATGTATATTTTGTACAGGCAAGCAGATGAACTAGAATATAAACACAATGTGCATAGTTTCACATTAAATGGTTTCCCATAGAAAACCATTATAAGGAAAACTGATCCATTAAGCAGATTGCGTTCATATTCCGTCCTCATCTGCTTGCCTATGTAAACTATGCATCATTAATATGGTGATTACTGAATTTGATCTTTTAATATGACTATTTTAAATATATTAAGGCACTTTAAGTGTTTTTACAACGTTTCGTCGCACTGTTTAATGATTGAAATATTGCCGCGGGTGCTTACAATGGATTGCAAATGGCCAAAACTTGCATTTTGTTCACATACTTTGTTTTATTCTTTTGAGAGGTGATCTAAATATTAGCGGCTGGGAAACAGATGGAAAATTGACAGGCTTGTGCTGCAGTTCTATGGGTATTTTGCCCTCCAAGTCGTCGAGCCAGTCACGTGACTGAAAGCTATGTCCTCCACTGCTGCAGTTGTACGGATTCTTAATGCATTTATTGAAACAACATTTCCTCTTTTTTCATCAAACAAACAGACTAATGAATAGCTCAACACAACTCGTACCGGGGCAGAGTGTACACAGGGCTTTCTTCTGTGTCCTAAAGTGATAGGGGGTCCGCAAAATAATTTGCTATAGCCTACTGTATTTTACAGACTGTAAAGTTTGTAAAATCTAAATTAAGCCTTTTAAAAGTATTCGCTGTGGTTCATGTTTGTGGCATGCTCAAGCAGAAAAAAATGATGAAAGATGCTCAAGGAGACCGAGACGTGCTAAAGCAGCGCATTCTGCGCATGACATTTTGTAGTTATTTT